GGGCGGGGAGGGCTCCAGAGTCTGTGCGTAGACCTGGATGCTTCCTTCTGGTCTCATCTTGCCATCTCAGTTTAAATGTCACTGCTGAGAGAAGCTCTGAGGCCACCAGGACCCTCCAGCTCAGCCTACTCCTGCTCCACCCACCTCTCTCCCCTCCATGAGCAATCATTTTTGGTTCCCTTTCTCCCTGAGGGCTGGGACTGGCTCTGCTTTCCTATTCAGTGCATACAGGAAGCGGTTAATAGACAGCTGATCAACTAAGGAGGACCGTGTATCCTGCCTCCAGGGTCCCTTGTGTTTTCCTGGACCAGCTGCCAGCCTTGTGGCAAGCCCAGAGGGTGGCGGGGGAAGCTGTGCCGTCACTGGAGGCCTACGGGGCCTGACGGGGGAGACAAAACATACAAGAGACCCTTCTGAGGGTGCTGGCCCCGGAGGAGTCAGCCCAGAGGAAGCAGGGCCAAGCTGCGGCTCACAGACCCGTGTGGGGAGGTCCCCACAGGGCTGTGCTGACTCTCGCCTCAGCCCCACCTCCAAGGAGGGCAGAGGGGGAAGAAAGCGCTAGAACGCTGATTGGCAGGTGCATGCCCCGGGCACACATTACAAGGTGGCTGAGGAAACAAGTGGAATATGGCGAAGGGGACTGCGCACTTCAGGTGAGGAGCGGCACAGCCACCTGACGCGGCCCTGGGACTGGGTGCTTTCCCTGCTGGGGCCGGCACGGGGACAACACCAGGAGAGAGCCTGCAGCAGCAGAAAGGGCACTGACTCCGAGGGCCTGGGCCCGAGTCTCCTCTCCGACACTGTGTGACCCTGAGCAGGTCACTTAACCTCTGGGGGACTCCCGTTCTGCAGTTACCTCCCTAGGAAGGCTGTTAGGGACAGGGGCTAATTAACAGAATAAACCATCTGTCACTAAAGGGAGGGGTGGAGAGAACAGCGGATGGGAACCACATCTGTCGTGACAGCCTGACATGCTAGCGGGCACCGATTCTGGGCCCCTAGGACTGTCCTCCAGGACAGGGCGTGGGCTTCTCCTTGCGCCTGTCACCCAGGCCTGCCTCCTGCAATGGGCCTGGTGCACAGCAGAGGAATGGGCGAGAAGCCCACCTACCAGCTCTGTGGAAGGAGGCGGGGTAGGAGCGGGGCAGAATTCAGAGGAAAGCAGGCCCCGGGCTCTTCGAAGGGGATCCGGGCCATCTTCCCCCACAACCATGGCAGGGGGACAGGACGGCGGCCAGATCCATCGTGTGACCCAGAGCTTGCACGGACACTGACGAAGGAGCAGACCCAGGCTCTAGAGACTCGGTCCCCTCCCTGTGATCTACAGAACACGTGAGCCACCTCACGGGGCCATGGGCGGAAGCCTCAAGCTTGCGGTGGGCACTCGGCAGAGGCCTCGCACATATGGCACCCCCTTCCCTCCTCACTTACGTCCGCTTCTCGTCTCGCATGGAGCTCAGGATGAAGGTCGGCTTCCGGGCCCGGGAGATATGCATTAGGTCCTGCAGCTCTGTGGGGCACAGAGTGGGGTGGGCTGGGGCCAGGCAATTGCCACCCCCTGCCCCATGGGTTCTGAAGCACATCTGGAGCTATGGCCTCACCCCATTATCTCTAGCAAGAGCATCTGCCTGCTGCCCCCAGGAAGGGCTATTTGTCCCAGGACAACTGAGCCAGAGGCCACAGGCCCCTCAGGGAGAAACGTTTTGGAACAGATGGGAGCCCACTGTTCTGGAAAGGGCCCCCACCCTGCCTGGCCAGCACCTGGATTCTCCTCAATGTCTGTCTCCCAAATCCGTGACACACAAGCACCTGTTACGTCCTGTGCTTTGCCGTCCGTGATGCATTTCTTCATGCATCGGGCTGGGGCTGCTGACAACCACCATGATCAGAATCTTTATTCCCAATTTATGGATGAGGCTCAAAGAGGTTACTTGTCCAAGGTCACTGAGCCAAAAGGCTGAGTCAGGATGTTCCTCAGGATTTAACTCCGTCAACAAAGAACAACCACACTTCAGGTGCTCCTCGTCCTGATCCCAGGTCTGGAAACTTCCTTAGCAATCTCTCTGCTTGGAGGCACCCATCCATGTTTTCCCCTGTGCCCACCCAGCGGATTAGCTGCCCTCCTGACGAGCAGCCCGGCCCCAGGTGCCTGGCCCAGCAGTGCCACGTCACCCAGATTCTGCCGGGCCCTCCCCACTACTGTGCTCGGAGTCTGCAGCAGCAAAGCAGGAAGGCAGGCTGCAAAGCGGTGGGAAAGTGGCCAGAATGGGCAAGACAAGCGGGAGACTGGCCAGCAGAGGCAGCGAACAGTGACGGGGGAGGGTGGTGAGGAAGGATGCGTGTGTCACGCAGCTGAGAAGGGGAGGAGGGAGCTGGGCATGTCTGGGCTCTGCGGCCCCTCTAGGCCCACGGCATTACCCATCTGACGCTGTGCCCCAGGCCCACCATCCAGCCTGGCTTGGGTGACTGACTGCCTGTAAAATTGAGAGATAAAGATGGGGGAGTGCAGGTCCTGGATGGGGAGGAGGAGGGGAAGAGAGGGGCAGAGCCAGAGGACTAAGTGGCTGCTGGCTCTGCCTCTCCTGAGTTCCAGGCTGGGCTGGGCTATCCTGGCTGGAGGTGCTGGCATCTGCTTTCCCAACAGCAAAAACAAACTCCACTCCCAAATGATCTAGGGCCCTGGGTGGGCCAGCCCACAGGAGACCCAGAGTCTCCACGGAGGCCGTGACCATGGCAACAAGGATGCACAGGAGCCGATGCTATTTGCCTGGCCATGTTCAAGAGCCTGCGTGGGTCAATGAAAGGGCCAGTGGAGGGCACACAGGCCTGACAGAGATTCAGCGGTGTGGCAGAAACACTTCACTGAAGCCAAAGGGTCAGGGGCCCCGGGCCCCCTACAGTACTCTTTACTGCCCAAGGGACATGAAGCGGCATGAAAGCACCCACCTTATGGGTGCCATGACAAACGCCCAGACCTAAGACACATGTCCAGGGTGCCCTCTCAGGGGAAATGGACTGTGGGTCAATAGCCAGGGACCCCACTGGCCTCTGGGCTCTCTGGGCAACTGGCTGTCCCCAAGGCTAACACATCCTGCCATCCTCCCTGCTCATTTCCAGGACTTCCACACTGGGTCAACCAGGAGCTCTGATCCGAGGGCCTGGGAACCGGCTGGAGAGGAGGGACGGTGGGAGGGGCGAGGCCTACCTAGGTCGCTTAGGCTGATCGGTGGGGGCTGAGATCTTTCCAGGGAGAAGGGATGATGCACTGGCGCGCAGCCCGGCTCCGTGGGGGCTGCTTGGAGGAGTGGGAAGCGGCAGTCAGCCCCTATGGTTCTCAGCAGAGTTAAGAGTGACTTCCTGGTGACAACTTGTCATGGTTTGGGGAGGGGGAGATCGCACAGGATCAGAAATGATTCAGTATGCAAGTGAGAGGCCCCTCCTTTCCACACACGGTCCCCTCTCCCATCTACCAGGCTGCCCGGGTACGTGACGAAATGTGTGACCTCACCACGCCAGGGTGTGCTGACCCGACAGAGCAGCTTCCTGGGGCCAGGGGAGGCTGTAGGGACTGACCAGGGAGGTGCCAGGAGCAGTTCAGTGTATTTTGGGACTCCCACTTTCCCTTTGCCTCCAGTGGAGAAAGCGGGACCTCCATATTCAGCAATTCTCAAAATGGCTGAATGGAGAGTCCCTCTCAGAGCTCGAAAGGGACTAACTAGCCAGCCAATGAGCAACTAATCCCATCTAATGGACAGGAGAACTAAAAAGGACGCCACAAGAAGTAGCGCATGCACACGTGCACATGCGCATACACGCACGCTCACACACACTAGCAGGTTCACACCCGCGGCAACCTCCGTAGCCCCCTGAAACTCTCCAGAGGGGGCTCTGGGCTTCTGGTGAGGAGGATCTGCTTTTCCCAGCTCTGAAGCCAAGGCTTACCAAGTGAGCATGCATTGCATGCAGCATGCCTGTGAGCAGGGGCACGCATGCACACTCGTGTACTGGTTCCATCAGTGAATTCTCCAAGGATGAGAAAGAGGGCTGCCTGGGCTGCTGTCTATACCACCCCTGGCCCCCCTGAATCCTGGCTGGCACCCTGAGGTGAGATGGGCCTCATGGGAGAGGACACTGGCTTGGCAAACCCCTTAGTGGGCTCCACCTACCGGTCAGGCCCCCTGTTCTTGGGGTAAAAAAAGCTTCCCCTCAGCCTCCCAGGTCCTCCCAGAAACCCTGTGCAGGGAGCAACGGGGAGTGGGTACGGACAGGATGCTGGCACCAGATGGCAGGGACTTCCTTCCTCCCTAGTCCCGGCACCCGACCCTCCCCTGCCCAACGCTTGTCCCACAGTGGCAAGTACATACGTTTGCTGATCTTGGAGGCGATGAATGCAGGAGTCTCCCCAAAGTCATTTGGGGTGTCTACCTCTGCCCCGAACACAATGAGGGCCTTGATTATCTCCACATTGTCTTTCTGTTGGGAATGGAGTGAGGTGAAAATATGCAACAGCTCAGGGAAATGAAGAGAAAAAGGACCCTGGCCCCTTCCGCCTACCCATCAACTCAGTGAGCCTCTCCTTAGCACAGGGAGAGACACTGCTCCGTCGATCTGCGGTTCCAGGGTCTACGATGTGAAGGCTGGTGCCCTGACAAGCAGGCTTACATGTATCCCCAGGTGAACGTTTCATAACCCGGGCAGATATGGGAAGTGATTCACTCAGCCCCCAGCCCCACCAGCTCCTTCTGAGAGGAAGCAATGCAGCTATGACCCCTGCCCCAGGAGCCATGGGGACACTGAAGAGTCAGCTGCTGATGGCTTTCAGGAGTATCAGGAGAGGGGAGAGAGTAAAGGGAAGGCTCTGAGTAGGTAACCAAGCAAACATCCTCCCTGACGGCAGCCTTCAAGTGCAGCCTCCCTGCACACAGCACCTGCAATTAGCATCGGTAGGCTGGGCGGGGGCGGGGCATGGCATGGCTTCTGGTGGGGTGGGCAAATCCCCTAAGACTGGTCGCCAGTTGCTCTGAGCTCTTATCACCTCCCCCTTCTTCTCAGGGTCTGATTTCCTCATCTAGAGAATGAAGAGGTGTGTCTAGAATGCCGTTGTTCCAACACCTGTACTATTAGGATTTACATGGGCACAGGTAAATATGTGTGTTTTAATCATTAATTATGTAATTCTTTTTTGGTTACTTTTTATTTGTGGCACTGGTTTAACCACTTATGGTAGTGATGTAACACTTTCTTCAAAAAAAAATTTAAGTACAAAAGCAAGCCAACTTAAAGAAATGTTGAAATGCATCATTAAGTGGTTCATGAACGTGCTGCAAGCTGTGAAGATGGTATTGCATGTGACGAGTGTGAGGAACAATGAAGTACATCAGCTATTCTCAAAGTAAGACCTGTGGACCCTCGTGAATGCGTGAGTCCCTTTTAGAAGGTTCACGAGTTAAAACTGTTTTCATAGAAAATACCAAGATGTTTGCCTTTGCACTGTGTTGACTTAAGCACTGATAGTGTAAAAATAATGGTGAATAACATTGCTGGTGCCTGAGTACTAAGCAAGGCAGTGGCACCAAAGTGTTGCCATGAGTTTCTTTGTGTATTCTGTGTCATGGAACTGAGAAATGGAGGAGGCATTTCTGTGGCATGACAAAGTATGATGGAGTCTTGAGAAAAAGCACCTGTGGAATTGTTTGCGTTGAGAGCGGAACTAGCTGCTTTTTTTCACGGAACACCATTTTTACTTGAGAGAATGACAGGCAAAAACTAGAGTTGTTCTGCCTTGGGTATTGAGAAGACATCGTCTCAGAAATGAAAGCAGTGAGCCTGTCACTTCAAGAAAAACAACTAGCAGTAGTTTGTGCCAATGATAAATTTCAAGCTTTCAAACAAATATTGGAATTCCAGAAAACCTGTATATGCCATGATGGGCTCGACAGCTTCCTAAAATTTAAAGACTTTTCTGATGAGATTGATGGTGATATTTACAAATGTGGGTTTTTGATACTGTATAATGAAATGGGTCAACATTTTTGGAAGCTATGCATACTCAGTGAACCAATATTTACCAAGTACAACACAAAATCATTCATGGGTAAAAGAGCCATGCAAAGTGCAAGGGATGCCAGCGGATTTTAACGTAAAAAAGTGTGAAAAGAGCCTGAAGATGGTTTCAGAGTGTCCACTACAACCAACCTGTCAGACACCACCCCTTGTCGAGTTTTGGTGCAATATCAAGGAATATCCATAATTACCTGAAAAGATATAACTACGTATCTTTTCCAACTATATAACTATGTGAGGCCAGATTTTCTTCTTATTTTTCAACATATCCAACAATATTCTACAACAGAATAAATGTAGCAGGAGAGAATCCATATGTCTTTTCTGAAGCTGAGTATTAAAAAGATTTGCAAAAACATAAAACGATGCCAACTCTTCTCAATTATTTTTTGTTTTGGAAAAAAAAGTTGTTTTTCATTGAAAATGTTATTTACATTAGCATGCAATTGGTAAATTATGGCTATTTGTAAGTGAATTAATAAGTATTTTGAGAATTTCTCACTTTTAATTTCTAACCTGGTAAATATAGATAGATAAAATTCATATAAAAATTCAAAAAGTTTTTCAGATCCTCAATAATTTTTAAGAGTATAAAGGGACCAAACAGACCAAAAACTTTGAGAACCACTGAACTGGAAAATCCTAAGGGCCCATTCAGTACTAAAAATGTCCACGGTTTTATTTATAATTTCAGCCTCTTGGGCAACCTTGCTCTACAACCATGACCTGCGGTATAAAACAGGATGTCTCTGAATTTGTCCTAAATCGACTTCTAGAGTCCCAGGGGCCTCTCCCATTCTATCGTTATGAGACTTACTACACAGATTTACGTACATGCAGTGTTACTATGGTTACGTGAACATAGACACAGATGCGTGTCTAACACAATAACACTCCCTTCCCTGCACTTGATCTGTTCATACTGTAGTTAGTTGTCTAACCAGACTGGAGAGCCCTAAAGGCAGGAATATGTAACAGACCAACAAGTGTGACCAACACCTACCACGGCCACCAGACGCGTAAGCCAGCCCTGCCGTCCAGGGGCTCGGAGTCTAACAGGGAGATGAGCTCAATAGGCAGGCGAATGCTGCTCCCTAAAAACGCAGGGGAGGAAAACTAACATCTGTGGGCACTCACCCTGTGCCAGATACTGTGTTGTTTAGATATTCCTCGTAGTGACCGAGTGCCTGCCAGGTGGGCACCGGCACCTCCACTTTCCAGATGGGAAACCAAGGCTGACAGAGGTGACATGAATCGCCCAAGGCCACAATCAGTAGCCAGAGCTGTACTTTCCCCTCTTGCGCCACATGCAAGTGTCACGTGGGGGGACGGGAGCGAGGGGGTCAGGGCACAGAAAGAGGAGATGTCCTCTGCCCTCCCCGCAACACATGCGGTCAGCTCGGGCCGACGACGCCCAGCAGAGCGGGTGGCAGGCTCACCGACATAGCCAGGTGCAGCGGCGTGTTGCCATGCTCTCCGTGCGCGTTAGCGTTGGCCCCGTAGGTCAGCAGCACCATGACACAGTCATGGCGCTCACGCATCACCGCTATGTGCAGGGCTGTGTTCCCCGCGGAGCTGGTGCCGTTCACTTCGCAGCCTCGTTTCAGCAGCATGCGGGCCATCTGTGGAGACAGGGTCCAGGCCCGAGTCAGTGGCGCGCTCGGAGCAGCTGTGGCCTGCGGCACCTGGCGGCCCCTGGGCACTGCCACTTCTTCGGAGGCCTTCAGGTGCTGGGCCTCTGGAGAGCTCTAGCACCGGAAGAGCCCAGGCGGCAGGATCCAGTTCTGGGGGTGGCCCTCAACCTTGGCTCCCACACCATCAGCACCCTTGGAACTAGGGGACAAAGAGCTGAAGATGTGCCAACTGTTTTAAGGGGCTTCCAGGTCGTTCCTTGGAGCTCAAGGGACCCCGTCCCTCCCTGCAAAGGGACCTGGCAACACTCCGCCCTGCTCACCCAGCAGCCCTGGGGAGCCTGGGGCCATGGAGAGCAGCCTGGACTTCGGAGACCGACAACTCAAACCCTGAGCTCAACCCTGCTTCACCCCAGTCGTCTGTGCTTGGGAGGGTCACTGTACCCCTCTGCAACTCAGCTTTCTTTGCTGTGACATGGGAATGCAAGTCCCTCACAGAGTGTGGTGACAATGAATGACAAAACATACGTGAAAGGGCCTGACTTGGTGGCTAGCTCCTGGTATGAAGGTCCCCTTCAGAGGGTGGCATCTCCTCCCTCCTGACCCATCACGGTTATGAGCAGCCATGATCTTTGAGGGCCTGACTTGGTGGCTAGCTCCTGGTATGAAGAAGGTCCCCTTCAGAGGTGGCGTCTCCTCCCTCCTGGCCCATCACGGTTATGAGCAGCCATGATCTTTGGGGGGCCATCCAGTGCACTGCCAAGCTGTGCTTCCTGGAGACGAGAGACCAGAGGCCTCCATCCTCCCAGGGAGACGAAGCATGGCTTAGTGGCTTAGGGAGAGGCCTCAGAGGAGATGCCCGACTAGCCTCTCTGTGGACACAGCAAGAGTCAGTACTGTCATCGCCATCAACCACCACCTCTGTTTATGAAGCACTTGCCAATTTACAAAGAATTTCCTTATGCACCACCTCACTGACCTCACAACACCTCCAGGGGCAGGCCGTAGGAACCCCAATTCATACAGGAAGAAGCTGCAGAGGGGACACCATCACCGTGCCAGTGAGCCGTAGAGGAACATGAGGATGTCATCTCTCCTTGGGTTTGCCTGCCTGGGGCCCGCTACAAGATCGGTCCCCACCTCACCAATAAGTGCATCCTCAGGGTCCCTCCTCGGGCAGCTGAGGAACAAAGGGCTCAGGGACCCGCTCCCTGCCCACCACTCCCCCAGACTCTGCCTACCTCTGCGTTCTTGGCCCAGTGCAGGGGGCTGGCTCCATAGCGCGGGTCTTTGCTGTGGATCTGGTTGCTGTCCATGCTGATGATCATCTCGGCACACCTGGGGAGAGAGGAAGGCCGGGGGCCACCTGGCTCTGGAAGGGGTCATGACCAGGGGCTTCATCTATTGGTTAGGGAGAGTTTCCGCAAATAAAATTGCAATAAAACCAACCGGCACGAATACCATGGTATGTCTAGAGTACTTGAGCCCCTCAAGGCATAGCTCAAGCCCCTTCCTCCAGGAAGCCTTCCCTGATAACTCCAATCAGTAATGATCACTCTCACTGGTGCTGGCTCTAGAGTCAGACAGGCTTGAGGTCAAACCCCAGCTTCTGCAATGGTGACCTCTGGAAAGTGGCCAAGTCCATCCGCAACATGGGGACAGTCCTAATAGGACTGGGTGGGGATTAAAGGAAAGAAGATATTTCAGTACCTGGTTCTGTGCCTGGCACACAGCTGCCCTCCACCCGCCGACCCCCCACTGTTGCTGTTTCACGCAGAAACTGGATCCTGAAGGAAGCAGAGAGCTGGGTGGTTAAGAGCACAGCTGCTCCTACCTCTAGGGGTGTAAGCAAAGGAACTGAGCAGGGGCTCGAGCAGGTATTGATTGGTATGCCGCTGTTTACGACAGCACTATTCACAAGAGCCAAAAGGTGGAAGCAACTCAAGCCTCCACTGACAGAAGAATGGAAAAGCGAAATGTGGCATATCCAAAGGAGTGTTATTCTGCCTGAAGAAGGAAGGAAATTCTGACCCATGCCATGACACTAACAAACCGTGAAGAGTAAATGGAACTAGACTGCCAGACCAAACCCAGCTCCCCGCGAAGCTCAGCCCAGTTCGCGCAAACAGCAGAGGGGCTCCCAGACTGGAGCTGGGAGGCAACCACTCTTGGAAACCCTAACACCGTGGTTCTTAGCGTACGGTGGTGGTGACAGAGAGGTGTCCCTATTGGGGTCCCATGGGAACATAGCTGTGTGCAGATGTCGGGCGCATCCAAGGTATGAGATGACTTGCATCATCATAGGTGCATCTAAGGTATGAGGTGACTTGCATCATTGATCCTTTTGATCTAAGCCAGCCCCACGAGGGAGGCCTGGGTGAGGCAGAGAGGGAACACGACTGAGAGCCTCTGATCTGAGGAGGGAGCCACCTGGACAATACTAGGGTCCTGGAAAGAACCTGGACCAAGCAGGTGACTGGGGTTTAGCACAGTGCCCGGGACTGAGGGACCAAATGACTCGCTCATTCATTCAGTCATTCTAGATACTATACCTGCTGGGTAATATTTTGAGATAGTCATCTCTTTCATTCCACTCCCCCCAACTCCCCCCACACCTACACCACACACACCACACACACACACTACACACACACACACACCACACACACACACCACACACACCAACACACACACACACAAACACACACACACACACACACACACACTCACACCACACCACACCACAATGGTGATGAGAACTGAATTCTGCTAACCAGAGTTCTTATTTTGTCTGAACCATTTACCAGCTCCATAATTCTGCACAAGTCATTTCCACATTTCATCATTTCTTTTCCTGTGAAAGAGGAATAATAGTTCCTACTTCATGCGGTTTAAAGCCACTGTACAAATAGTTATTATCACTAAGTTCAAGAACTACTGAACATTCATAAAGTGTACATCCTAATTTTATATTCCAGACTCTGAAGTAGCTCAAGTGTGACAATAGCATTTTGTGGCTTCAAAACCTGATGGATTCATTCTTAAGGGGGTATCCTTAAAAGGATAAATAGAAGGAGATGTACCT